AAGGAGAACTTTAGAATAAACACATTCAATGTCATTTTTGATAATTTGTTGACTGATTTGCAAGAAAGATGTCAAAAATATGAAATAATCTATGAAAAGTTCTCGATTCTCATTGACTTTGAAAACTTGAATAATGCTGATTTTCGGGAAAAAGCAAAGATTTTAAGGGAGGCTTTTGATAAAGACTTAGAAAATTCATTGGATGATGAACTGATCCATTTCAAAGCTTACCTTGAATGTGATCAACAAAATTCGAAACGCTTGACGCCAATTGAAATTCTCAAATGCTTAAAACAAAATGATCTTGATCAAGTATTTCCTAATGTTGACATTGCATATAGAATATTTCTCTGTATGGCTGTTACCAATTGTAGTAGTGAGAGATCGTTTTCTTGTTTAAAGCGCGTTAAAAATTATTTGAGATCGACCATTGGACAGACTCGTTTGAATTCTTTGTCAATGTTGACTATAGAAGCAGACATTTTACGTTCAATAGATTGTGATAAAATAATCCAGACTTTTGCACTTCAAAAATCACGGAGCAAGCACATTTAAAAGTTATTTTCTCAACTATTGTGTAATAGCATCTTCATAAGGAACTATCAATCTAGTATGAAAACAACGCCAAAAAAGATTTAAATTATAAATGATATTGTTTTATATAATAAATTTTATTGATTCGATTAATGTTATCTTACTTCTTAATTTTGCATGTATATTATATCTATATAAGTTAAAACCTAAATTATTTAAAGTAAGTGAGAAAAGGGCGGCAATTTTATAACTGCCTAGGGCGGCGAATTGTCTTAATCCGCCACTGGGTGCACTATACTCTCATCTCCAGAACAATTGTAGGGAAGCCTTAGAAACATTAAATAAATCCTTTGGATTTGAAGCCTGGAAACAACTATCGGAATGCTGTTTGATTCTTCTTTAAATATTTAATCGGAAAAGAGCAGGAGAGATAGAGAGAAATTTAATCGAGGACTTTAATAACTATTTAAGAGCTTGTTCTCTTATGAGGAAATTCTCCGAAGAGTGCGGAGCTGAATTACCGGAATCTCTACGAGGTACTTTCCTTCGAAAGCATCTAGCAACATATAGTGCAATGATCGGAATCAACGACAATGAAACACAAGACCTGGCAAACTTCATGGGTCACGACCAAAAAATCCATAAAGAAGTTTACAGAGTTCCAATGCCTTTGAGAGAAGTCACAGAAGTCTCCCAATTGTTAGAGGCTGCAATTGGGATTAACACAAGCTACGACACATCAAATTCCGAAACACAGCCAGGTGTGTCATATTTGGCAAAAGAACGAAGCGACACCGAGTATGAACCAGGTCTCAGCGAAAATGAAGAGAGAATGTATAATTCCACCAGTAAGTAGATTTCGATTTGCATTAATAATTAAAAATTACATAAATATACAACTTAATCTAAAAAGTAAAGTAAGTAAGTAACACAAACTTTATTTCACAAGATTTAAAAACCTGAAAAAAACAGAATAGTACATGTTCCTAAATAGACCTCCGTGCATCCTGCCATGCTGGGCAGTACATTACGGATCTTAACAATATTTTCTTCCTGAACTTCATAGAATGTCTCACTAAAATCGTAAATTTCTTTTTAATATTTTCTTAAGTATAAATTAGCTTTTCACAGTTAATCTTTTGGTCAAAATCGCTCAATAAATTCAGCGCAAAGTGAGCTACAGTTCAAAAATATTCGTTAAATAGTAACTGAGTTAGAATGTGAGAAAAACGTCTAATTTTCTGATTTTTGAAAACCCCATATTCCAACTTCAAGTTCTGGCTTACTTTAAATGAGGTTAGAAAAAAATCCAAATTTACATATGTGAGCTGGTCTATGAAAAGGGACATTACGTGTCATAAAATCATTTTTTACTTTTTTGTTGATTCGGATAGAGTTTGAAACGCTCTTTAAGATGGTGAAAACCAAAAAGTCATAAGTTGAATAGAAATTTCATAAAAATTTTTAAAGTCAAAAGAAATATTATATAAGAAATATAATTTTTTTATAAAAAACGGTCACTTTTTAGAGAAGTTGACAGCTGTCAACTGTCAAGTTGTCAATTTAACATCATATTCGTAAGCAGTGGCCTCGAAAACCCTTACAAACATGTGTCACTTATTTATACTTATTGTTGCTATTTAGAAAACTTAGATTACACAGCCCCACAAAAAAAAGTGTCGTGCGCGGCAGACCAGACTAGTCATTTCCTATGTATTTTGAAGCTGAATCCAGATGCATGCCTAAAAGCGAAACTATCCGTTAAACGGACCCCCCACCACTACTTCTTGACGGAGGGGAAATGTCTGGTTCTCATCACACTCTGAAGTTTATTTACATTTAGAGTTTATGATACACAATAATGAAAAAGACAGGTTACATTTGATAGAATAAGAAAAATACACAAGTGAAATTAATTAAGTGTCTTTTTCATTAGTACAAAATTGAAAATGTGAAAATATATTAACATAATCCAATGTTTCAAATGAAAGAGTGCTCCAGTGATAGTTTCATCATATTATATGTATATTATTAAAAAGGAATGGTGACACTCATTTTCAAGAGACTAAATAAGTTAAGTTAAGTGTTTTTCTATTATAATGGCAATTTTGTTTATTATTGTAATATTATATTAGTGAATTAAATTACAGAGTGTAAAAGGTGTAAAAGATGTAAAAGATTGACGTTGGCCATAACCAAAAATATAGTTGGATATATATAAGATACAATAGAAGAAGGTGAGAATTTTACTTAAACTATCTCGTTTCTTTTATGTTCTATATTTCCAATAATAACTTTTTATTCTTACACTTTTAATATTTTCTTAGTATTATATAATTCTAAATTTGACACTTGCTACACCTATTTTGGTTATTTTTTCATCTTTATTTTCACTTCTGTTCAGTTGTTGAAATTTTTTGATGTAGTAAATATTATTTATTTTTTTATTTCAAAATTTTAAAAATTATTAATTATTAAATAAAATGAGCTAAATTTAATTTATTTTCAACTCTTTTAGAATATGTCTTTTTGAGGTTATTTCAATTTTTATACAAAAATTTTAAATTTCTTCATAAAATTTAAATTATTTTCATAAATAGTAAAATTCTTTATGAGAATTCCAGTTGTTTTCATAAATAATAAAATTATTTTCAAAAATTTCAATTATTTTCATAAATAATAAAAATGTTTATAAGAATTCAAGTTATTTTCATAAATAATAAAATTATTTTCAGGAATTTCAAATATTTTTATAAATAATAAAATTCTTTATAAGAATTCCAGTTATTTTCATAAATAATAAAATTATTTTCAGGAATTTCAATTATTTTCATAAATGATAAATCTTATTGCAAAATTTCAATTATTTTAATTAAACTACCAACAAGTCGCGCGCTAAAGCGGGCAACTAACTTCTTACTGCCTTTTTTAAATAAAATTAACAATTTTAAAAATAATAGAATTTAAAAATTTCTAATTTAAATTTTTTTGAAAACACTTAAAAAATACAATTTTAGAGAAATTACAAATAATTGCAGAAATTCAATTATTTAAAAAAAATAAAATTCAACTATGTTCAAAATTTGTAAAAAATTCTCGTAAAAATCCCAATTATCTTTATAAATAACAAAATTTTTCTCCAAAGTTCAATTATTTTATGTAAAAAAATTCTTGTCCTAATTTTAATTATTTTCAACATTTTTTTTAATTTCAATTATTTTCAATATCTACTATTGTAATAAAATTTCTTCTATTGCATTCATTCATCCTCCTATTGATTTGTCAACCAACGTATTTCGATCTTTTTCGATTTTTTTAATATAAGAATTAATTGTGCTCTTTTTTTAGGTAAATCTGAAAATAGAATAATTACTTTGTAGAAGAGAGGATCTTAGACTCAAATCAAAAAGGATCTGAAAGGTTTGGAAGCGCTCACATAGAAGGGGTTACCACAGTCAAAAATATCTGTCTTGAATCTGACAATCAAAATTCGATCCCCAATAATTATCAATAAACTATAATACGTTTAAAATTTGAAATTATCTTGTTAAAAGTAGTTTATTGTTTTCTCTGACAAAATAGTATATACATATTCTTCGATAGTTTATGCATCATTTAATCCAATAACATTTTTTTAAATATTTGCTGACAAATTATAATTATTGTTCGATAGATCAAAAACATTTTTTTAAGTTTGAGCAAACTTTTGAATTATTGAATTTTTAAAAGCAGAATATGGAAAATTCAAGAACCAAAGTTGAAGATCCAGGACATTTCTAAAAATTCTAGGACTGGTAGACACCCTGAATATATAATTTAAACTTGAAAACTTTTGAAAATCTGTCATCGAAATTGTATTTAAGTACCTCAAAAAACCCCTGAGTAAACAATTTTCTTTTTTGATTTCATACAAACTTACAAATATGTAGTAAATTATTCCAAAATCATAAAATTAATGAAATTAATTTTCGGTCTCAAAAATAAAAATTAATTACACGAAGCACATCTTCGAAGGAATTCCACTTTACATGTAAAAATAATGTAACATTAACAAATAAGCAAAAAAATCATCAAATAATTCATTTTAATTGTATTTATAATCTAATTTTTTCATCGACCAACAGTAAAGCAAAAAATGTTTTGAAAATTTGAATTTTACTTAAAATTTCCTCACTTTTTCGAGATTTATTAGCTTTGAAGTCTCATAAATGAAGATTAATTATGTTTAAACTAATTGTTTTTTTAGAAATGTGTTGAGGAGGGAACCGTCGAAAGGTATAGAAACTGATTTTATTTTGCAATAAGGAAGACAAAAGTTATTTAAAAAATACTGAAACCGCGGAGGGAATCCCTCCCTAGGTGTGTGACGGAGGGTTAATGAATTCTTAATTTATTTCTTGATATTCTAATGTTAATAAAAAATTATTCATTGATTATATCCTAAAAACACTATACATTTTCCTATATAACATTAGATGACTTTTGTAAACAATATTCGTATTATAGAACCTTTTTGGTGGAATCAGGAATGTATTGATGCTATTAATTATGAAGGAGGACAACAAGGAAAGATTGAATAGCCCTTTAGAGATAAATTTAAAATTGTTGTTTAAGAATAGTAAAGTGATATAAATTTCTATAAATTTTTAAGTAAAAAGTAAATGGATAGTGTTAACAGTATGATTTGCTTAGCATAAGCTACTCTCATAGTTGTTAAAAATTGAATTTTGAGAATTTTTAAACCCAAAGTGAAATAGTTGCAGACTAATTTTTTAAGGTCATTTCCATCTAAACTTTTTAAAAAACTTGTGCACAAAAGAATGTGTTTCGAAGATGATATCTTTTCATGTCTGTCTATGTGATCATTTTGCTAGAATAGGATGAGCTTTTGATCGGGGTTGTAATAGTAATTGTGTGGGGGCAAATTTTATTTGAAAATGTACACAATGGGGAGGGGGTTGAAAATTTTGATACAGTTTGAAAAGTAAATTATTTATTTTTTTAAAACCAAACTAAGTAAAAGTAGTTCTGAAGTAATAATTTTAAAGCTTATTACTAAATTCCGCTTCTAATTTACTTATTTTTTAATAGGCAGTTTTAATCATCAGTTTTAAATTATATAAAAAACAAATGATATGCTTTCAAAAGAAGAGTAACATTCACTCTAAACAATTATAATGATTGTTTATATGCATATATTAATTTGAGATTGTTTAGTATGTGAAACCGAAAATTTTAACTCATTACGCAAGAACAGAAATTGTTTTCATTCTTTTCTTTTTCGTATTTTGTGTTCCATTTCGTATTTTTTTACATTGTTTTGTAATTTTTGAGTGCGCGTTTGATTATCTTGTTTTTCGTGACATCACAAAAAGATTTTTCAGGCATGGATGCCGTAGCATTTTTTGAAGTGGGATTGTCTTTTTTAAGACTTTTGAAACTGCGGCATGACATAAACTACAAAAAAAAGCATTTTCGAAGGTGGTGGGTAAAACCGCACATTCAGACATGTATTAGAAACGATTACGGAGCATTTTCGACTCTATTCTGTTATTTTAAAATGCATGACCATGAAGAGTTTTACAAATTGTATAGGATGAGTGTCCCCCAATTTGATAAACTATATGAAATTTTGAAAACCAAACTAGAAAGATCTTCTGCAGTTAGAGAGCCTTTACCACCACAATTGAGATTTGCAATAACTTTACAGTAAGTTTCAGCTTCATGATTTCGCTTACTTGACTAATATTGTAATTATCGTATTTTTATTTCCACTAGAAAATATAAACATATCTCATTTACAGCTTTCTGGCACACGGCGATAGCATCGAAACTTTGTGTAAACTTTATTACATCGGAAAGTCAACCGTCTATGGTATTTTAAGCGATGTTTGCCAAGATATTTGGGACATACTTTCTCCTGTATATCTTCCGGAAAAAAGTGTTGATGATTGGAAAGAAATTGCGATCGATTATGAGAAAAAGTGTAATTTTCCTCATTGCTTAGGATCAATAGATGGTAAACACATCAGAATTACCAAGCCTCCAAATTCAGGAAGTGCCTTTTTCAATTACAAAAAGTACTACAGTTTCGTACTCATGGCCATATGTGATGCCCATTATCGCTTTACGTGGATTGATGTTGGCGATTATGGTAAGTTAGTTAAAGACATTATTACAATTATTGTAGAGAATCATTTGTCCTTCTCGAAACCATAATAAGGGCCTGGATGCTATAAGGTGTTACGCGACATTTACTTAACATGGCGCGTAACACTTTATAGCATCCAGATATTTTCACGAGGAAAAGTGTATTTTTTAGATACACGAGGAAAAGTTTGTACACTTGTAATATTCTTTCCTCATATTTACATGACCAAATATAAAAACTTCTGATTATTTTTAATAGGGTTTTAATCTAGCACTTATAAAAAATTTTATTTATAATATTGCTTAGGCTCCTTGAACGATGCCAGTGTTTTTGGTGCTACTGGATTGGCACAAGAATTAGAAGAGAAAAGGCTTCCTCTTCCTGAACCTGAATGTTTGCCAGGGACCCAATCATCAATTCCATACTTTCTGATTGGAGATGAGGCATTTAAATTACGTCCTTACATGATGCGTCCATACCCGAGAAGATTGGTCACAACATCTAGAGAAGAACTGTTTAATTATTGGTAAACTTGTTTATATGAGGACGTCCACATGAAAAGGGCCCATATTGTCGGTTCTAGTTTTCAAGATAATCGCAATTGGGGCAAAATCTTTTTTTTTATTTTTTATTATCAATCTACATGTTTTGACAAGTCGAATCATGCGGTTTTCATTAATTTATCGATAATTCAACTGTTTGATTTCATTGGTTCTTTAAAAAAATGAAAAAGCCCCATTTTGTCTGTCATTCGCAAAAGTAATCCGTATTTTAAAAATGGAGATATGAAAAAATTTAAAACCTCTTGATTTTTCATCTTGAAGGTGTCCTGGACTGTAAATAATTCTTATCTGAATTATTCAGATAAGAATAAAAAAAAATACCACATGTCAGTAAAGTCAGGGAAATGTCAGGAAAAAAATTTTTGTCAGGGAAATTAAGAAAATTGAGAATTTTTTCGACTTATTTAAAAAAATTGCGACTTTTTCGACTTTTCTTCCAAACATTTCAAGTATTTATTTACAATTTTTAAAAATCAATTTTTGAAGATTTTTAATTGCAAATTTTGAAAATAATTGAAATATTAGCTTCTAATTGTTAAAAATTCAATGTCATCAGTATTTTCAATTACATATTTCCAAAAATTCAAATAAATATAAAAATAATAATATTTTAGAATTATTTTTAACACTTTGAAGAATACAATCAAGCTCAAAATTTTTCATTAAAATTTAAAGAAAAATTAATTAGTTTTTTAAATTATACCAAAGTTTTTTTAAGAAATTCAATTATTTTCGAAAAATTACATTAAAATATTTTTAAAAACTAATTATTAAAATTGTTTTAAAATAATTTTTTAAGATTTAATTATCTTCGAACAATGTGAATGAAAGTTTCTGAAAATTTACTTTTTGGAGTTATTAAAATTTTTGAGAAATCATGGTCCTGTTTAAAATTAAAATTCTTAAAAAATTTGATGATTTTTATTTATATTTTTCAAAAATTCAATTATTTTTAAAAGATTTTACCAAATTTTAATTGTATGTAAATTATTCAAAATTGAAAAACTATTATATTTATATAATTACAATTATTATAAAAAATGAAATTTTTTTATTTAAATAATTTAATTCTAGAAGAACTTTTGGGAAATTATTTGAATTAATTGATTCAGAGATGAAGTTTAGTTGAAAATTGTAAAAAATAATTGAATTCAGGAAGGGTTATAATTGTAATTTTTAGAAATTATTCAAATTAATAAATTTTACCCATTTTTCGTAAACATTCATATTTTCCTGTAAAAAGAATTTTGTCAGGGAAAGTAATTTTAATGTCAGTAAATTGTCAGGGAAATTGATAAACTGAAACTTGTGGCCACCCTGGAATAACTTCTCAGAAGAACCAGAGATATTGATGTTAGAGTATTTTTTTCGTAACTGTCGAAATGAAAATTTGGATATTGCGTCAATTTTTTCATAATAGAGACTGTCAACAATTTTTAAAAAAGTTTAATATCTATTCTTTTTCTTCAAACGACACAATAAAATTGTACCTCATCATAAATCTTGTAAACAATGGTTTTTTAATAGAAAAACTGTCCTTTTTAGAAAAGGGCCCACATTGTCGATTTTTCGTATTTTCAAAATTAAGAGGGGGGGATGATTTAAAAAATTTAAAACCTGTTAGTTTTTTATCTTTAAGGTGCCTTGAACTAGAAACAATTCTTATCTGAATAACTTCCAACAAGAACCAGAGATAAAACAATTAGTTGGTATCGCAATCTTTAATTCAGTTTTTCTCGAAATGAGGTTTTTGGCGTTTTAAACTTTGAAATTTCGTAAATCAGCGAATTTTTAACCAAAAAAGTTCTAAGACCACTCAAAATTTTCCAAATTTTGCCAGGAATACGCCCATATAAATAACTCCAATAGTGCCAAAATGGGCTCTTTTCATGTGGACGTCCACATATGTTAATGAATGGTGTTTAAAATTACAATTAATATAATCTGTTGTTTGTGAATATAATTTTACGTCCTTTATCTTTCTATCGAAATCGAGTGTTTCTTCTGCTTTTTAACATTGAGCACCAGTAGTTGGACAAAAACTTTACAGGCATTAAGCCAACATTAATTCCAACTTTTGGTCCTTATCATGTCCAACTACTGGACCCGCAAAAATGGCATGTCCAACTATTACGGTCAAGAAGCAATTATTTATTTCCACATTTAAATCTAACTAAAATAAAAATTTTGATTAATTTCGAATTAATTTGAATCCTTTAATCATAATTCGAACGAAGTATAAAAATATCGTCAAGTAAACCAGTATATAATATCCTGTAAAAATCGTTGCCAAATTTGCTACTATTTTAAGTGTCCAAGTATTATAGTATCTTTACCTTACGTAATACAATTATTTTTATAGTCTCTCAAGTACACGGATGAGAATTGAAGACTCACTTGGAGTTCTTGTTGGAAAGTGGCGTGTATTTCATAAAGCTTTAGGTTTTAATTTATCAACATCTGTCAATATTGTCAAAGCTGCAGTGTGCTTACACAATTGTTTAATAACAAGCGAGTTAAATGACGCAGAAGAAAGAAAAAAGTATTTAAACAAAGAGATTTTGAAAAATATTTCAAAAAATCGAAATATGGAAGATTCGAGAAATGAGGAAAATAAAGAAAATGAAACTTGTGATTCAGATGGATGGAAAATCAGAGATATTTTAACATCATACTTAGAGAATAGAAAAAAATAATGTACATTTTTTCGTCAATGTCTCGAAACGTTTCAAAAACTAGTCATGTTTTGCTTTTTATTAAAAAAGTTATTGAACTTGTATTTTTAAATTCCTTAATATCAAATATTATTGTTTTTGTTATTTAGAATAAAGTTTGAAATAAAACTATCTTTTTAATATCTATTATCAATAGTTCAATAGCTGCAAATCAATTTTAAGATTATTTTATAGAAGCTTAACTAAGGTTACAAATATCTACTGCTAAATTTTTTAAATTGCAATTTAACGTTTAAAAATAATGCAAAACTTCAAGTATTGTGCATCTGATCCTCAATTGTTGAAGCGTTTTTCTGCAAATTGTTTTTGAAGTCCATGTACGCCATAATTTTACTGGACCAATCGTTCTGAAATTTGGTACATTACTCCACATAATTCTTTATGCATCCCTGGGAATTTTTTTTAATTACTAATTTTACAATAACAAATCAGACAATTTTTTATAGAGAAAACCTATAAAATGGATGAGAAGAAATTTTTGTCTTGGAAAATAGTATTAATTTTGATAAACAAATTTTTACTACAAAATCTCAAAGAACAATACATCAAAGATGATATATTGCCAATTTTTTAAATCTATTTTTTATATAAAGTGAGATATTCAAAATAAACGTAAATTTTTTATTTGTTTCTACGTTAATGTGTAGAATCTATTGATTTTTCCCAGCAAGCGAGTACATAATACAGAAGATAGACAGATTCAACAACTGTTCAACTTATGCACATCGAGAATAAATAACAATAATTTTAATTTATTTTAATTTAACGGATTACACTCTTAAATACATTAATAATAATAGTTAAAATAATACTAATGAAACTAATAATAATCATGTCAACATGCGTCATATGCAAAAATCTTATTCAAATGAAGAATTTGTGAGAGCAGTGAATAATATGGTGCCTACCCCGACACACATTTATTTTATTGAAAATGTACGATTAAAGTAAAAAATTCCATATTTTCTCTGTTAAGTAGATACTGTAATCCAATATCTGGAGTAACTGCTAAGCACGGTTAAAGTTTCAATCTTTATTTCCCAGATAATTATTTTCAATTGTGTCCATTATCAAATGAAATGTTCTTCTCTTCTCATTTGGAGAAACTTTCCTAAATGTCTCGAGTAAAATTTCTTCGTATGGATCATTTGCTTGAAAATAATTGTCTTCAATTTCTGTTAAATCCACGTTGTGTACAGTATTTTTCGCTCTTACTGTATTTTTATTTTGTGAATAGAAATTAGTTTTTGTCAAATAATATTGAGATGCAACTTCCGTAAAATTTTTGAATAAGGATAATGTCTCTTCAAACGATTTTTCGGTTGCTTCCAAATCATTTTTATATCTTTTTGTGTAGTTATCGAATGGCGGAACAATTTCTATAAATTTAAATAAATATACATTAGAAAGTCGCTTCATGAAAAAATTAATTTTGCTCGTTATGTAGGGGAGAGTGGGGCTAGTTGCACCACTTTTTTATGTAATGACTTTTATAATATCAATTATTTAATAGGTTATATATGATAAATTAAAAGAGCAATCACTCATTTATGATTTAAAAGTATATATATGTCTCGTTATAAAATGATTCGATCATGGCAACAACATTGAAAAAAGTCGCTATTGATGCAAGACGACCCACAGGTGGGGCGTCTTGCACCACACTTTTTATACTTAAAGAATTTACATCAAATCCACTATTAAATATTGTTAAGCACGTTCATTAATTTCAAAAAGGCAATAAATAAACAGTAGACTAACAATTTTTTTACAATAGGGGATGAAGGAAAAGCTGGAACATGGAAAATGTAGTAAAGTGACGAAAGAATGTTGGAAGATCCATTTTTAAAAAATACATTGCGAGTAAAGTGTAGGATATGTGCATTTAAAAGGAAGGAATAAATGGTGGAAAATGAGATGTATCTTGAAGGATAAATGGATGAATTGGCAAAATTGAGTAAAGATAAAAGTGAAGGAATGCGATAACCTATCATACAAGATGACCCATTAAGTTTTTTCTTGAATTTAATTTTGAATATCCAATTTTCTATGTGAACTTCTTACCTTTATTTGCAGAGAATTGCTTTCTCTTTTGTGAATTCTGTATTACTTTCTGTGTAAACTCTTCTGAATTATCTCGATTATTTACTTTCTTTATAGGAACATTCGCAAGAGATGAAGGAATTCTATTATATATAATCTTATTGTTCAATTTTACATCACTCACTATACGCAATTTTTTATTTGTATGGAGATTACTTATTTCGCCATTATATCTATTTCTATTATTTCCAATTTCATCATATTCAATTTCGTCATATTCATTTTCATTATAATTTCTATTTTCTTCATTTTCATCATAAATCTTTTCACACATACTTTGATTATTTATTTCGTCATTTTCAATTCTAAAGTTGAATTTAAATTGATTTTTGTCTTGATTATTAGTACTTATATCCTCGCTTGTTCTAACATCATTTTCAGAGAAATCAACTTCTTCGTTTAAAATTGTTTCAAGTTTATCAAATTGTGCTTTTACTTCAAGTTCCTTCGGTTTATTTATCTTTTTTAAGAAACATAGTCGCCATTTATAGTTTTGATTTAATGTTTCCCTTTCTTGCATTTTATCCCTCCAATATTTGACCATGTAATTGTCTGCTATTCTCTTAGTTGATGTTGCTGATGTACATGGTAACTCATCTTCGCGTTCGTGCAATTTTAACTTTCCTTCTGTATTTTTCTGTGCAGAAAAATCTGCAAAGTAACGGTCATTTTTTTGTCATTAACAAATACTCATGATTTTGACTAGCTTACTATACAAATATTATGCGTGGAAATTGATAATCTGCGCGAATTAGAAATTCACAGCAAAGCTTGCGTCAACCTTTCATGTCAGATCATTAATAAGATTACACTATTTTATTACTTGTGAAATATTTTTTAATTATTACCTTGATTACGCTTCTCAATATCATTCCCAAGTTGTAACAAATTGTCATCAATGAAACATTCCTTAATTAAGTTATCTTCAAAAGCTTTCTTATTGGCTTGATTTTCAGCAACTTGGGTGATTAAACGCACATTATTGAAATTGAATGCAGTATCCACACCTTAATTAATTGTATATAAATAATTTTTAAGAAATATATGCACCATCACAGTCTCGTGATATTTTAGGATATCCAACAGACGTCTTAGGAATATCTGTTGGCTAACGGAAATAACGATATTTACAGAATGTATCCAGGATGTCAGTGGATATCGTCATTATATCCATTGCTGTGAGGGTATCAAGATTGGATACTTCTTTTCTCTATACCTATAAGTCAATTTTTGTGATTATTACCTTCACCAATTTTCTTCAAATCATGTAAATTATTAAAAGTATTATTTTCCAGCATTCTCGAAGTTTTACTATTCACACATTCTTCAAGTAAATGATCCGTAGAAATATTCTCTTTTGCTTCATGTCCGATAACTTGAGTTAATGATCCCATAGTATTGAATGACATTTCATTTACAATATCTAAAATTCAAATAAAAATAATTTTGAGAAATTATATATTTATTATTTGACTATGAAAATTTATGAAATTATTGCCTTTATCAATATTCTTCGAATCTTTCAAATTCTTGAAGAAATCATTTTTGACGAAGACGATTTCAATGTTTTCTAAATTTGTTGAAATGTTACTGTCATTTATCTCACTTTCTACAACTGCTGGTAAATGATGATTAGTAACAGGACCTGCTTATATTAATTTTTTATTTTACTTTATTATTATTATACTCTTTTTACTTAAATTTAATTTTTTAACATTTTAATATTATTAACAAAAAAATTATACCATCACTCGTTTCTTCGATGCCATCAAAGGTAACAGAATCGACTCCTAAAAAGAGAATACATTATACAAATTTTTTGATTGTACTTAATTTTTGTAACGCGTTTCATTTTATTGTCAAAAAATTATACCGTTATTTGTTTCTTCCATATCATTGTTATTACCAGTAAGAGAATTTATTTCTGCCAATTGGGGCACCTCACTTTCATTTTGTTCATTAGAGTGAACAATATTATCCGAAAGGAATAATAAGTCGTCATAGTATTTAAAAGTTATCTTCTTCTGTGGTTCTTTCAGTTTCTTCTTATGGAATCTGACAAAAGAGTCTCTCAAATACGTCCATCGCTTCAAAAATGTGTTTTCTACAAAAATTAAGTACTTGAAGCGTACGGAGTCATAATTTAAGACCTACTATAGACTCATTTGATACTAGTTGAACCTCTTGTTAGCCTATATCATTAGATCCAGAAATCATATAATCAAGACTCCTTCAGGTCAACTTTTCTCACAGGGGAGCCCTATTTAAAACTTCGTCAAACCTAACGCTTTATTATATTAAACCTATGATGACATGACGACCCCAAATTTGAATAGTTATAAATAAATAATTTGATAGTAAGAAGCCGCAGTCATTGATTCAAATAGGAATATTTTACAAATGAGCTATTTAATAATAAATATATTAGTTAAATTTACTTTTAGGTCAAGTTAAAATAATTGAAATTTTTTGTTACTTATTTAATTAGTAAAATTTGACTATTTTTTTAGTTATTATTTATTTACTAATAATTATTAATTTTTTATTTTTTTCTAATTGCTGGAGCAAAAAAGCCACCACGATTTTGCTAATAATTAATTTATTTTTAACCCTCACATAGAATATGGAACAAATAAATTAATAAATAGTTTTAACTAAATGTGAAAATTTATTAAAGAAATCTAAGAATTAATTTAAATATATATTTTATAAAAATTTCCTTTTTTACAGATGAACTTCATATAGACAGATCAGAAATTTTGTGATGCACTCCAAAGAAAGGTTTAATTTTGTTAAACTTAATTTAATTTTTCTTAATTATTTTAGTTGTAGTGAAGATTTTAGTAATACTTACAATAGTTGTTTTTGTGTTATTTCATTCGAAAAATTATATATAATGAAAAATGATAGGAATTTGAAAATTTAGTTTTGTTCAGAACTTTTCACAATAAAGAAAGAGAGTTTAATCATTTTTTTTATTTTATCATTTTATGCGTAATCTAGCTAGATATTTCTAGTCCGAATTTCCTCTCAAGAATCTAAACAGGTTCTAGTCAGATTTTTCCAAACTAGATTTTCTAGCGCGATTCTAATCAGAATTCAAGATTTGGTAGGGACACGTAGGGAAAATTCTACATGGGTATTATCTTCTAAATTGAAAAAAATTATCTTGAAAAATTAACCTATACCTTTAATAAAACCAAAATTAATTTAAAGCAACTGAAAAATATGTTTTAAAGTCTTACGATTGTCTCCATATCCTTTCTGATGCATCATCTTAACGATACTTTTCCAGGATGAATTTCTTTCTTGATTATTTTTATCATTTCTTCTATATAAACATGGATGACTTTTCACAGCTATTATTAGCGTTAAATCCTTGTCATTTCTTTCGTTATTATGTCTTCCCATTTTAGTTAAATAAAAAAATATTGCAATTAAAGTTTAGTGAAAAATTTTCAGTAACTACTGAAGTTGGTTATGATTTTGAATGTTTTGACATTTCGCAGATTGGATATGAATACACTAGAGAATCTATTAGGCACTTCAAGTTAGATGAGATAAATATGTTTTACGACAATCAATGCATTAATCAATGGAACGAAATCAGTTATTCTACAATAACTTTTTAAAAACACATTTTTTAACCAAAGTGTAATGGCAAATTATTCTTAACTTATCGAAAGCTATTTTTTAAAACAATAAAAATTAATTTTTTTTATTTTATTAATTTAAAAAATAGCTTTCGATAATTAAAGAAAAATTATTTGCCATTACACTTTGGTTAAAAAATGTGTTTTTAAAAAGTTATTGTAGAATAACTGATTTCGTTCCATTGATTAATGCATTGATTGTCCTCCAGCAAAACAGCCATATTAGATTTTTTTACCCAAACTTGAACTACCTAACTTATTATAATATCGAGAATAACATCACTAATCATTATTATTATTTTATTTATTTACTTTCCAGGTAAAATGATTCGTACAAAATTCATACGAAAAAGTGGTAGAAAATTAAAAGAAAAAATTCCAGCAGACATTATATTTCTAATAATAATAATAGTAATCATTATTACT